CTGATGCTCTCACAGGAGATAATAGACTGTGGTCCCGCATGAGCAAGATACATCCCCCAGATGCTGCAGATGCAGAGATACCTCCACCAAACTCAAGACACAGGAGACCTCTGCAACAAACAACTATTCCTCCCACCTGGGGACAGCTTAAGAATTTGTGTGACAAAGGAGAGGTGGTACTTCCCATGACTCACAAGTCTGTGAATAAGTTATAAGGAATATCTTGGCATGCTTTCCATGGTAACAGTACAAGTAAAGGGGATGGATCATGATTATTGGGTTTTATCCCCAAGTCTCCAATTAACTGAGCAGTAAGAAGGGGAGATATGGATATTCCTGTAGTTGTTAATGAATCTTCATGGTTACTTGGTCCTTATGACAAATGAGGTGCTGTTCAGCCAATTAAGGAGGGTAGAGTGATTGACAATTACACTGTGGGGAGTACGAGGAATTCCTATTTGCATGGAAAATGGAATTTGATGCTTAAATACAACCTCTCAAGTATGGCTACCCATAGACAAAACTACCCAAGATTATCTTAATAAGTTTTATATGCTCCAAGCATCTGGTTTTAAAGAACAGGAGATTAATACTACTAGCTCCGTGAATCTACTGTTCTGTGAGATGTGGGTTACCAACAAAGAATCTGAGTGGGTGCCTTAGCAACAATACCAGAGTGAGAGACCTTGAGTGCTAATTAATATCTCCCAAGGAGAAGTCATGAGTTGGAGTCCTGGCTCCCCTCAAGGAAAATATTCTCACTCAAAGTTAAGATGGAAATGGAATAGTTTGGATGGAACTGTAGGGATCACTGCTTCTGTTGATGAACCTATCCGATGGAATGGAGTTGAATGTCAAATCCCTTCCTACAGTTTGGCAGTTCAATTCAGACTACCTTGTGGGAATGGGAAAGCGCCTTCTTGATAGAGGCCACAGAGGCAGTGAGAGGTCAGCAAACAGTTCCGAGGTCAACCCACCAGAGACACTCTTCACTAGGTGATAAGGAATACTGCCTTTTGGATGTATTAGCTGTCCTTGTTGTAGATTTCTTATGTGAAGCAATAGCTCTTTTCCTCACATTACAGCTTGGGGATTTTTCCAAGCAAGCAACACCAAGCAACACAGGTGTTTTTTATTGGGCACAATTTCCCTTACACATTGGATGACTCTTCCCAGCAATGTGTGATTCTGGCGAGAAACTAATCACAGTCAATACCCTTATTCTCAGCCAGATATTTGTATACACTCAGAAGTCTGTCCCTCTGCAAGTATCTTTGACAGGCAGTTCGTCAGGATTAGTGTCCAGGTAAAGATACCTGACTTGAAGCATTCACGGATGCCCAACAACAAGAATTATGGCATGTCTGAAATTGTTGATGCTTAGCCCAGCCCTCAGCGAGATAGGAAGCAAGCACACCCTAGATTCACCCTCTACCGATATGGGAAGTGTTATTCCAATTAACACTGTTATAACCCTAAACAGGTTACTAACACTCTATTTTTCATCTCAGTTTATCAATATAAGATCTTAACTTAGAAGATTAATTGATTGGGTCTTAACCAGGTAAGTAAACAGAAACAAGCTATTAAACATTTTCGAAGTCCAAAGGCAATTCATTTCCACAAATGCTATGGGAACAAACCACAGTCTAGCCCAGGAGGCTGGGAGGAGTCCAGCTCCAGATTTTGTACTATGATACTAACAGGCCTCCTCCTACTGCTTAGGTGTAAATGTAACTCTTAGATCTGAAAGGCCCTCCCCCCTTTTTCTAGCCTGCTAAACATTTGGTAAATATGCTAACGCAGATCAAATGCCACAGGCTTCCTTCCATAGTTCACGCTGGCGCTGTTTTCAGAGCTAGTCCTGGTGAGCCAGCCAGGAGAAGGTACCATGTGTACTTCCCCCTTTCACATTTATCAATTATAAACTTTTAACATATCACCTAACCATGCTTAGAAATGTAGTTCAGCACACAAAACACACTTCCTTTCCTCTTAGATTCTATTTAAAGTTCCCTCCTTAACTGATCCTCCAAGCAGCTGCCAGGGAGTCTCACAGCCACACTTCCCTGAGTCATAAAAGAAGCTGCCAAGCTACTGCTCTCTGTGAGCTTTTATCAGTTCTAAAACCATGAAAAATAAAAGATCTTTAATTTTGCCTTGCCTGAGAATTGTGTATGGTGTGGGATAAAAAAGAATGCTCACAGAAGAGTCAACAGACATGATGGAGGACGGCGTGTGTGAGCTGACTCTCTAGTCCGGTCCCTTGCCAGCGGTAGCTTCTTGACTGGACCCTAAAGAGGTCTAAGGGGCTGGTACCTAAAAGACCTCATTACCTTCTACCCTCTTAAGGCATCTGAAGGAAAGTTAAATATTAAGGATAATAAATATACTTTGTCTTTTAAATCAAATCAAAGCCATACTTTATTTTACTTACTACTAAGGGGCCTGTACAATGGCACCCTAATAATTACAGCATTGCCGGGTTCTCTGGCAGAAAGGGCAGCAGCAGAGCCAGAGCTGCCGGACTTTCCCTGCGCCTGAGTGGGATGGTGAGCATCAAAACATCAGACCTCCACCAGGCCAACGGGGAGAAACATACACACTGAGTCGGAAGCCTGTCAAAGCAGGATCTCGTTTAATTGTATCAGGCAGGGCCAGTGCAGAGCAAGGGACAAGGGCCAATAATATTCTGCCACGTTAGCGGTGGCTGGGCAGAGGCGGACCTAGGTCAGTCAGGTTGTGCTGAGTCACATCCTGTGTGGAAGTTATAGCCAGACACAGGTCTCCAAACTCAAGCTAGGCTCAGAAAGTTACACTAGGCCTCATCAAACTCAAGTTAGGCTTAGGAAGTTACATTGGGCCTCATGCCCAACACAGCATCACTGCGAATGCTGTACCCTTCATACCTAGGCTTAAATTGGACCTTTTGAAAGTTTCTATATTCTTAGAGCAAGGCAGGCAATTTGGATACCCGTGAGGCTGTCAAGTCCACAGTAAAACTCTCCTGTGATGATCCTGTACAGAAGTTTGCTGAGAGAATCAAATAGTTGGATTGGCTATTGCACTTATTATGGGAATCACTGTAGCAACAGCAGGAACAGCAGCAACAGCTGGAGTAGAGCTTCATAAAAAATCCAAACTGCTGAGTGCGTTACAGACTGGCATAGACATCCAACATAACAACTGACAATGTGATAATGAATTAATTAGCTCAGTTAAAGCAAACTGTTTGTTAGAGGATCAGATAGAAATTCTGAAGGAGCAGATAACATTAAAATGTGAATGCAATGTCTCTTTTTATTGTATGTATCACATTCTTAATATTTAATAAAAGCAAGTATGATTGAGATAACGCTAAGATGCATTTGATGGGTCACCCTAATTATTCTCAACTAATTTCATTTACAAAAAGAAACTTTTGCAAAGAAAAGTTACCTGATACAGCAGGAATAGATTATGGAAGGTCTTGTAAATACAGTAGCATTATTCAACCCTATGAACCACCTGAAATAGATTTCTTATCCTAGCAAGTATTGCTTTTGTTCTAGCAATATTAACTTTATTGGCTTTAAAATGTGTTTTAGTCTACTTACATGCAATTGTAAGACAAATAGTTAGAAAAAAGCTGCATATGTTGTAAGACTGCATTCAAGATAATCAATTTTTGTATAAAGAAAGGAGGGATCTGTGGTAGCATTCCCGCTGGGCTGTACCTGAGCCTAATCCCCACTGCCTACACCTGGCCTACCTCTGGAATGTTAGCACCTAGCCCTGATCCATCTTTTATTTAGCAGATACCCTTTGTTTCTCTTGCTGCCCTATGTGAATCTTATCTGAGAGTTTTTCAAGGGTACAAAGTCTATGCAAACTTGGTTTGGGAAAACTGTGGTACCTGATGAATTTGCACTTGGCACTATATTTTTGGAAGATTCAATCCCATTGTTTTGAGCATATGAAAATCAACTGGCTAAAATGTAAATATGGAGAAAAATAAATATGCCCTGGGTGAAGGGAAAGCACTGCAGTCCTTAGAGGCTGAGCCCCTGCAGCCACAAAAGGCTAAATTCATTCTTAAGGTATCTCTGAGTCTTCTCTCCTTGGACCCGCATGAACCCAACACCTGTCCTGTGACAGTGTCATGTGTTAACACATTGTTTCTATAGAATCCAGTCACGGTAACAGTGTCATGTGTTAACACATGTTTCTATAGAATCCAGTCACGGTAACAGTGTCATGTGTTAACACATGTTTCTATAGAATCCAGTCACGGTAACAGTGTCATGTGTTAAC